CCGCGGGAACCGAAAACACCAATCCGGGAACCAAAAACCCGGAGCCCTGGCACAACCCCCCAAATGTCTCTTATATTGGGGGTCCATATGAACCACCTTTTGAGGTTTTTGTGCCATCTATATACTCTGAAACCACTATACCTGAAGTCTTGACAGGTAAACCGTAAAACGATCGTGGTTACAACATTTGACACCCACGAGCTTTGCCCTTGGCAACCCGCCACCCCCGGGGCTGCCAAGCTCTCCAAGGCCACCGAGCCTTTCTGAAATGGCAGGGCCGGCACATGACGAGGGTCAGCATTTGGTCTGAAACCTCCGACGTTGAGCTGCTCGGGCCTAGAGGGTGGGAAAGGTTGGGACAGGTGTCAGGGCTGGGGTGGCTTTATATACAGTGTTTTCAGAGTTGATTGCACAATCCTCAAAAGGTGGTTTATATGGACCCCTATCTAAGGGACATTTTGGGGTTTGCGCCATCTCCTCTGAAACTACTGTAAAGTGATGAGTTTGGGAAGCTTCGCACGCGAGTTTGCGATGCACCTCCCATCATTAATGAGAAGACGCCACTCTCATTCAAAGGATTCAATGGAACATGTTTTCTGGGGGGGCCTCAGCAGCACGTAAGCTCTGGAAACTCGCAGAGCCCCACAACGGTCCTGCAAGCCTGGCATCAACAGACACCCCCACACCCTCAATCCGACTGATGTGGGTGTCAGTCATTAAAGGCTTGACCGACGCACGTCGCCTATTCTTCACCTCCCGTGATGTTCTCAGATCGACGCCTCGGGACATGACAGCGACGGGACATGACAGCGACGCCCGTGGGAAACGAGTTCGCTCGGGCCATGGGGGCATGGCAAAATCAGAAGCATCATGAGGCGTCTCAGATTGAAGCCCCCATAAGTTGTTGTGTCACCCGTTGGGGCCTGAGGAATTGCAAGGTCACATTGACGCCTCCGGACATGTACTCCATGCAAGCACAGGCGCGGAGCATGGCGTGCGCCGGTTTCGGCGTGCAATTTGAGGGGTCTTCATGTAGATGGTTGATGCTAGTTCAACTTTCAAATCCCATTTATGAAGAGGTTTTCATGCATTTTCATCTTACCATGCATGTTTTGGAGGAGCTACCTTGAATTGAATCAAAGAAGTCTACCCTTCCATTAGAGGAGCGGACCTCCGAGATTTGGCAGGTCTCAGAGGATTCGTCGGCCTGGCACTTCCCCGTGCCGTTGGTCCCCAGCCGTGCGCAGCAGCTCTCCTCGGGGCGGCCGCTGCCACGGAAGGAGCAAAGCGGGGGGCGAGACGGTTGGATGGTGAGACTCCCTGAAGATGATCATAGGAAGTGGGAAAACCCTAAGAAAAATGATGGTCATCCAAGATAGAATCTTAGCGAGTGTCAAGAAGTATGGTCCAATCCCAGGTCATCCGCGCGGGCGGGCATGTTCAGGTCCGAACGGTCAGTCGGCCGTTGACGCCGTTCCAAGCGTTACAAGCAATTGTGGTGTTCAGAGGGGGAAGTCTTGAAACTGCCCCAGGTGACTAGTTAGACTAGTTGCATCTGCAATGAGAGATGACATGTTGTAATCTGGCAACCTTCACCTGCAATGCGTCTGACTGGGCTGTCCTCCTCGAAGAGTATGAAAGAAGTGCTCTATATAGTCTATATACAACCAATGGCTTTTAGGATATTTTAGGGTCGAGTTCCTACGCGGAGTCTGGTGTGTAACGCCATGTGAGTAACATATTATTGTACTCCTTTTTATGGTCTTCAAGCCTTGTCCACATACTTTCGCCCCCTTCTCCTTCCCCCCGTGCCCCACCGCTGCACCAATTCAGGAGATCGAATCGGCCGAGTGCCACTGGCTGGCAGCCTGGCGGGACACGCCCGCGGACCGATGATGGCGGCCGTTTCACCGGAAGCATGGGAAGCCTCCACCGGAATGGAAGGCACCGACAAAAATCAGGCGCCCGCCGCACACATGGAGGCGCCTCAAGAGCTATTGTGGAACCAATTATTGTAGGTTTTGATTTCTTTGATGTCAGGCATGTCTCAGATGGGTTGTTGGTGCTTGTGAATGTATGGGAATGCTCCAAATAGCGGAGCTGGTGGAGCTTCATCTTTAGGTGGGGCCTCTGAGTCGTCTGAGTCGTCGCCCTGCACCTCTCTCTGTCTCTCTCCCCACGTCTGCGCCCGACTACGCCCGCGGACCCCCGGTCGACCGCGGGCGCTCAGCGCTACGCTGAGCGCAGCTGTTTGTACAGCCCGATGGGGAGGAGTCGAAAAAGGAGGCCTGCCAAGCATGGGGGCATGGGCCGCGGGTTGCGAGGACACCACACCTCCTGCCCCCGTTGGCCCCCAGGGCCAGGTGGGCCAGTCCACAGGCGCGGAACCATCCTTTGCCCCAAAGCTGGGTGGGCCGGCCAGATTCTCGGCCAGATGCCGTCGTACTTATTTGGATACGTTTTATTAATTGTGAGTATAAAGTTAAGCCCCAAAAAAAGGCGGAAAAAGCGCTTTCAGTTCTTTTTCTTGAGAAGATGAGCTAAGAGTGGTGGATTCCAGGGACCCGAAGCCCGGCCGGTTCTTGGACGGTGAAGGACGTACACGGTAACGGTGGCAACCGCATGGACCTGGAGGCTCCCGCGAAACCGTCCGGTGCTTTCTCCAACTTGAGATTGGAGTCCTGGAGGTGGTCGATTTTGGAAGGTCAGTGCACCACCTGTTTCTATACTGCTCTAACTAACTTACTGGCGATGGCCTCCACCCTGGTGGCGATGACCTCCACTCAACTATCTCAACTGGTTAAACTTGCACCAACTTCGGCTTCAGTCGGGCGCTACTCCCCCTTGGCTTTGTCGTTGCCTCCCATGCCGGGCCGGAGCGCCTGTGGCGGGCGTGCTGCTTATGGCGTGGTGTTGCTGCTGGTAGGGCTGCCAAGCGCCACTCTGCAGGAGAGCTGTGATGCCACCGCGCTCTTGCAGTACGACAGGTGTGGCGGGTGGGAGGGTGGGAGGAGGCACTTGTTGATGGTCAGCATTGAAATGTATACGGTATACTGTATATGGATATGTGCACACCTTGCGTTTGGAACACGTCCGGTGAAGCCATTATTAGGCCATAGGCATCCATAGGCCATAAATTTAGGGGGGGTCGTGTTGCCATTGCACTAGCAGATGTCTTCTATTGTCTTCCATCAACTGTCATGTGCCAGAAGGGGGGGGTGGCCGGGAGTGGGAGTTTCCTTTTGCAAAGCATTGCGCAGACTTGCACAAGCACAGCTTGCCACACTGATTGGCGCTTGGTCACCGACCTAACAGTTTAAGCAGGTATCACAGAGCACTTGAGGCACCCCGGTCACATTCTGAAGGTTTTCCACAAAATGGTCACCGGCCGTCGCTCCGCTCCAAAAAGGGTTCCTCTCTCTCCCTTTGGAACATTTCGGGTTTCTCTCCTGCGCAAAGGTCATCTCAACCCGAGAGTCGCCTTCCTCACCCTAGCGACCACCCCCGCTCCCGCTGCCGCTCCCGCCTCCCGCGCTGCCGGCTCAGCCATGGTGTTCGGCTACGGCGCTCGCGCGCGTCCTCCCTCACGGCTGAGCTGGCGGGTGAGCTCTCGGATGGCCGGCTTGACTACCTCGCGGCCCACGGGGCACCCTACACGGCGCAGGAGGTGCAAGAGAAACATGGGGAGGGAGGGATCTGGGTGTGCGGAGGTGCAGTGTCGGAAGAAGTTGGAGTGGAAAATGGAGGGATGGGTGTGGGTGCTAAGGAATGCAGGTGGACTTTCCAAGGCTGCGCGGAGTTAGTTGAGTTCGGGCAGATGAGATGTCTATCTGGAGAACTGAGAAAACCCTTTGCATCGGTCTTTGGCAGGAAGCATGTACCTCGCACCGGTGAGGGACAGGAGCGATGCTTTTACGCCTCTCGAGCTGTCCTTGGTAGATGCTAGCCAACGACGAAGAATGAGATGAAACGATTAGACGCTGACTGGAAGCTGAAGTAGACGACAGCGTGTCCCATGCACAGAATGCCAAGGAGAGGCTTCCCCAAAAGGCTCCCAAGATTCCACCAACCTCCGGCTTGCCCAGTGGTAGGTGGGATGCATTGCGGCAAACATGGCCAACAACATGTTCCCGAATGGCACCATTGTTGCTGCACCCTCGAAGGCACGTGCAGCACGTGCAGCACGTGGGAACCGGATGGTGGGGAACCCGCACGAACCCCACCGACGGTAGGATCCTCGGGGCGAACCGACTGGAACGGGGGAGGTCCCGGTGGGCGGAGGTCGGATGAAAATACACCAAGCTAGGTGAGCATGAGAGGTACACGGTACACTCCCTGAATCATGGTTCTGGATGGCATAGACCCGATGTACCATGAACTCCTGCACCAACAGGCGGCGAAGTCCACGTAACTATGGATGGTGTCAGAGAGTGTAGGCCACCTTCGTTGACACGACTGGTGTGTGAAGCAGGGCCTCAGAGTGACCATGTCTGGACACTTTCATGTTCAAGCAGCCATCGTCTTGTTCTAGCCTGGGACCTCCGATGGCAACAAGTCCCCAGCCAACACCATGTTCATTGAACTGTTGGTATTCTGATGACAATTATGTTTTGTTTTTCCCGCCCGTAACTTGCAATCTAGGCCTGAAAATCTAGAGGAATTCATGTCTGATTCCAAAGCGCAAAAGTTTTCTCTGGGCTAGCCTCTTAATGAGATAGAATAGAAACGGGCGGGCACCAAGTATAGATAATTGACAGTAGGATGCAGTAGTTGTTTTTTTTTCCTGAGAGGTCCGCTAAGAGCTCCTGAAACAAGAGCGTGTGACCCTAAAAACTGAAGAAGCTAGGCTAAAGCACTCAGAAAAGGGCGACATCCCAACCTCGATGCCGCCGGGAGGGTGACACCGTGACACCTGCAGTTTGGATGAACTCTGTGGGATGCATTGCGCATTTTTCGCTACCACTCCATCAGCTACTACAGCGTCCTAGGGTAGGACCCGACCTCGAAGATGAGACCATCGACCTGACAGGTGTCCTCGAATCATAGCAATGACTACTACTACATGTGGCAGCGCGATGCGGCGATGACCATGGGCACGCTGCTCCGATCCCTGACCACTGCACCCAATCAGGTCTTCGCTTCGGTCATGCGCCGCCTGACCTTGTTTTGAGGGGCCCCGACGAACGAAGAACGGTCCAGTTTACTCAATGAATCACACATCAGCCACGGATTTTCAGTGCCAATGCCACCAGATGCATCAGTTGTGACTCCGGATGTTCTTTGTGTCTGTCCATGTCCAGCTGAAAGAGCCGGTTGAGACCGTGAAACGAAAAGGATCAAGTTTGGCCCAACACCATTGGCCAGAGCCTGAACATTTCATTGAGTACTTACCCTCCCTCCAACAAACATGGAAGTGGAGTTCACCCCCTGTTTGTAGAGGAACATGGTCCTCCGACATCGGGGCCTTGTGGCATGATTGTTTGAGGGAGAGGGTTATCATGTAGATGGTTAGATCATAGTTACCATAGTTCAACCCTTCAGGCCTGCAGAGGTGATAACGATCCATGGACATGGGGGGGTTGAAAGATCATCCAGAGCCCAAACTATACACAAAGCCAGAACAACAAGCATATGCAAGCAGATGTATAGCCAGTCCATAGATATTAGGATTCATAAGACGTTTGGGGATAATTCAGGTTCTATAGCTAGTGCTGATGGAAAGTTGTACTGTAAGTTCATCATAAGTGACCCGGTAGAAGGGCTATTGACCCATGACAGTTCTCTTTTCTCCCTCATGTATGCAAGTGCATTGTGAGAAATGCAGCAATGCTCGTGGGAGAAGCAGGATAACCGCCGTGCCAAAGTCTAAGAAACAAACACCTTCGGATCTCAACCATGTGGTGACCATTTCTCACGTCCCCCGGCTGGTGAAAGACCCAGTTGCAGTGATCAGCAAGACCGCAACGAAACCGCGTTGTCCACATGTGTGGACACATGTGGAGAGTGAATGTTCAGTGGGGATCAAACACTACGTCGCCTGGGCTGGACTGAAGTCGTCTAGAAACACTGCCCATGCAGTCTATGTATCAGGAATGGGTATGTGAAGAAATGTAGGATGTGCTTTGTTTCAATTTGGATGAGTGTGCCCATGGTGTTTTGCTGTTGGAGATGTACTTTAAACCTCAAGGCTTCAAACCCAGCCCACCGCGCAGCTCTTTCCGGTCGCCCGGCCGCGTCGTGCGACCGGCCGGGCTGGCACCGAGGGAATCAGAGCTCGGCGATCCGGCGACAACTGGTGAACTACGTCGAGCTCTTGCCGCGGCTTTGGGACCAATGGGATCCCAACACTTTGTGCCCTCCCTGGTATGAGGACAGATGGGAGCGGGGGTGGAGGAGGGTGGATGGAAGCATGACAGAGGGAGATGACCCAGTTTCTGGGTGGGAAGCCTCAAACAAGATCAGACAAGACATGAGACGACAGTTCACACGATCCTCGGATGTCCGAAGCCAGTGTCACTGTCACGACCATATATTAAAGTATTCATCGGGTCTTGGCCTCAGTAGCATGCATGCTTACAATCCCTAAATGCATTATGAAGCTGGCAGCGACTGCGTTGGTGGAGCCTTTTCGGGGCTTGGTCGGATGAGTTTTGGCACCGGTTCGTTCCCCAAAAATGTGCGGCACGAAGCTGTGGCAGTTGGGCAGGTCATGACTTGAACCAAACTCCGGTATATCCTAGGATCAATCAAATTTTGGCTTTGAACGTGATCCCGACACTCTGAGTATCTCGGACCGTTGATCATCATAACTACGGTAGCCCAAATTATGGCAACATGCCCAACCATCGCTGTTGCCGCTGTTCCCCGAATTCGAGGACAAGCCTGGCTGGTGCGCCAAGATGGGGGAGCCCAAGTATTTTGTGAACGGCTCTGTTTATAACAAGCCGTGGGGCCGCCCACAGCCACTCGGACCCGCCGGCCTGAGGGGACCAGGGAGGGGGTGGGAGTTGCGACAGTTGTGCAGAAAGTGGCCAGGATCGAGGAGGTATGGAACAAGTTTTCAGTTCTTACTTACCAGACCAGGGGACCCATGAGATTCCATGACGGTGTCATTCTGGCCAGGACTTGGCATGTCCACTTTGTTATCCTTTTTGCAGGAGGTGGGTTTACAAAATCTATGCCAATGAGACTGAGACTGTCTGGATCGTGCGGGATGGACGGGTGTGGCGGTCGCTTGCAACAAGTTATTCAGAGGTGAGGCTCCTGATGTGGAGCCTGTCGAGCCCATCAAGGAAGTTGTTGACCTTTGCCAAGCCCTAGTGACAAGTGAAACCATGTGAAACCGACGAATCCGCCCCGGGAGGTGACCGGTGCGACTCGTAAAGGGCTGGATGTCTTTCGGCCGCTCATGTCGGAGGGGCGCCTTCTTCGGGGCGGCAGAGCCACCGCCGGCTCCGAACGGCTCCCTTGACTCTCCCAGGAACGACGGCCCGGCACTGGCCGGGGTCTTCTTGGCGGAGCTGGCGAACGCCATCCTTGATGCCGGCGACGAGATCCCAGGCGCAAAGCGAGCCCAAGATCAACAAACATATACAAACATGATCAAACATGGCCAAACCATTGGGTTTGGAAGTTGGACAGTCTCAGGGAAAATCGATGGCTATCCATGGCTATGACCGCGCCCAGTCACAATCCGAAACACATGAATCACTACCTTTATTGAGAAGAGGCTTCTTCAAACCTCCTGGAAGAAGGAAATAGACAATAGACTCAATAGACCCAAACCCGTTGCTTGGGGGTCTCTCTATTGAAATGCACCTTTATAATCCTGTATATATTAATATGGTGGTGCTTTATGTTTCTTTTGGAAACAAGGCCTTCGTATCGGCCGGCCTGTGCGCAAGACGTACGGCAAGGTGGTTGTTGCCACCCCAACCTGGTTGGACACAAGCAACGTGTGGAGACGCGCTGTTTGCTTGGATACGGGCTCTTCAACGTGGTTTTTGCACTTCATTTGTGCATGAGAACTGTAAGAACCAGGAGCAGTTTCAATGTCAATCAAGTATGACACATGGGTATAGGTCTCTCTCAGGTCTCTCTCGTGTATATATATATATATACACACGTAAACATTAACATATTCAACGACAAAACTGTTGTTTATGCAGCGGGCTCTAGACCAGGTGCTGTGGAAGAGCGCCAGCAGGTTTAACAGAAGGGACTAGCTTCGAATATATAACGATATATAACATGTGTGCCTCACGTCAAGCGAAGTTCTTCTCTTGTGCAAAGATGCAGTTTCCTGCAATTTCCTGCATGTTGAGGAGCTCAATTGAGCCCAAAAAACGCGAATAATTTTCTTGTGTCTTCTTCAAATTCCATGTGAGTAACTACGGATTCCACAACAGGAAAGTCGAGGTGGGGTTTCAGAAAAACTATTCGTTTCCCTCTGGCAGGTTCATTTGGGATGTTGATCCATGCGGGTCTCACCCAAGAAGCAAGCCGCTTTCGCCCAGCCCTGCTCGCTCCGACCCCCGGCGCTCCGACCATCGTTCGGAGGTCATGCGGAGGAGTTGCAGACGCGGCTGTTGAGTGGAGGCGAAGGGACCGGGAAAACCGGAGCTGAGCCGAGCCGATCAACGCGGCGGATGCCACGGTGGGTTGCCATCCATGAAGATGCGACCCATGAAGTCTTCGATGCGACGCCGTGCTGTCGCTGTCGCCTGACCCCGTCCGGTTTGGCTTTTGGCTTTTGGCTCGCGGGGCAGGCTGACTCAATCTGCACCTTCCACAAAGGGCACCATGGCATACATGAAAGGAAAGGTGGAATAGTTGTAGACCCCCTCCATCCAGATTAGTTCAAAACAAAACCGAGAACTCTCTAAGCGCGTCCACCTCTCGTTCCCAGCGTAAATGTCAAGTCAAGCCAGCATCGTTCGTCCTACCCGTGGAACCTGGTGGATGTCATCGGTTTCGGAGAGGCGGCACCACTGGAATCTTGTATGATGCCCTGAACTTTGTGCCGCTTGGGCCTGAACAAGTTATTCTTTGTGGGCGGAGGCCATACAGCGGTCGGTGGAGAAAGCCAAGCCCTGCGTGCGGTGAGCGTTCGATTCGCAAAGCTCTTGGCACAGATCCGAGGTCCTTCATTGCTTCATTTGCGGAGGTCCTTCATGGGCTCATCAAGAAACAATAGGTCATCTTAGAAAGGGCTTGTGCTAGACATCTGATAGGCGGCTGAGTGGGAATTCTTTTACTGAAAGTCTGCATCACCTGGGGCCCAATTTGCTATCAGAAATCATCCTGTCGTCTCGAGAGAGAGAGAGAGCGGCGAACCTGAGCCATTGAGTCGGGGCCCTTGGAATTCCCTGCCCGACCGCTGGTGCTGAGGAATACCTGGTACAACGAAGGGTCGACCGAGCCTTGGGAGGAGATCTATGGACAAGCGTTCTTCTTGGCAGAGGTGCACGGGTCTCCATAGATGGAGGGAGTGCGACGATGGAGTGGTCGGACATGGGCCATTGGGCCGGCGACAGGGTGGGCGACAGGGCATGGGATCCATGTAATTCAGTGATCTCGTGGATGGATCAAACAGGCTTTCGACATCGGGAAGCCATGAATTCAGGTCTGGAGGCTTTTCTGGTAGACCCTGACGATTCAGTCGTTTTCCTAAACAGACTTTGTCAGGGCGCAGCTTCAGAAGGAAGTCACCAAGTAACGACGAACGCCTCCTCAGATCATGATTTAGACCCTAAGGATGGTGCTTCGTCGCACCAGCCAACCCGAGTGGCCCCTGTTGATCTGCGCCCAACGCAACGAGTTGGTGGGTGGAACTACTGTATGCCAACCCACTCATAGGTGCTCGTGCCGAACCCATCCACCGCCTGCTGGGCGCGCCGTGGATCGACCCCCGGGTCGCGGGCAGGTGCAGCGTTTGGCGCTGGTGACGGGGGTGCGCTACGCACGCCGGAAGGGCCTGAACGCGAGCGCAGTGTGGCCGAAGTCGGGCTACAGCAACTGGGTCTACAGCGTGGCTTGACTATTAAGCTTTTGCAATTGGTTTTTTAGTTTCGCCGCGCGTTTTTTTTTGGGGGGGGGCAGGTGAATGATGGCGAATCTAAGTCAGCAAGGTTTGACCCCCGATGTTGCTTGTTTGGGGTGAGGATGACTTGGGCACGAGATCCTGTCGAACCATGAGGGAAAAACCACTTCCACGGTTCGATCGACCCACCTGGAGCCCGGACGGCCCTTCCCTTGGTGTTTCGCTCCTCCCACTCTTCGTCTTTCGTCCTCGCGGTCCACCCGTTCGTGGGGGCCGATGTGAGGAGAAGAACCTGCGCAAAGTCTCCAAGTCCTTCGTCTCGCAGGAGACGACCGATGGGACAACGACAGCAACGACAGGCTTCCCGATGGGTTTGGCGGACCCGTAGAAGACCGCGGCGCCTGGCCCGTGCTCGGCTGCCCGGCGGGCTCCGCCGAGAGAGGCGCTCCGCGAACGATTCCAAAACGGAGTTCTTCGTTCCTCTTTAGCTGATGAATTCGGAGGGCCTCTTCTGGTGTTCCCGTGCTCCAGCCAACAGCCCTTGAAGCCCTGAGAACGAGCCCAGAACCTCCTCCACGTCCCTCCCTCCCTGGGCCAGGAGTATGAGTACGTCCAGGCCATGACCGGGCGGCAGCAGGGCCTCGCGGGGCCCAAGTGCATCAACTCGGCCTCTCAGTGGCGGGGAGTACGGCGGGGGTGAGAGGGTGAGTAGCGGACTGAGAGGTGAGTTGCGTGTGTAAACAACTTGGACAACTCACGAAGACCTAAGAGCACTGTTCCACTGGAGGCTACTGAACGATGCGGCAGTTTGGGGGACGTTTGGGGAGCTCATGCCTTGGAGCGGCTTTGCTGAGCTGAGGAGCCTCTGCTTCTGAAGACCGGAAATAACTGGCCAGAAGGCCGGCAGTGACTGTATCTCAACTCGCAGTGACGAGCCTGACAGCGGGGATTTTCCGCTTTCCAGGTGAGTTCGACCTCCCAACCGGACCGTCCATTCCGACCGTTCTTCGAGCGCATCGTGTCACGCCCGTGACGCCCGCGACGCCTGGCCAGGTCTGCTGGCACCCTGCGAGCTGGATGTTCAGACCTTGATCGCTGCCAACTACCTGGCCGGGGCGCCAGACGCTGCACCTGAGGTCAGCCGGAGTGGCAGAAGGTGGTTTGGGGGGTCACACTCCCTGGAATTGATCATGGGTTTCGTGGAGTGAGTGGAAAACCACCTGCTTGGTATTCAGAACATGGTCATCCAAGGCCATGCCATCCACTTCCATGATTTTTCCAGGGAGTGTCGTCGTCCGTGTTGCTCTGGGAGGGGGTTCTTTGGGCTTTTCATGGCTTCCCCTACCTGAGGGCTTTTCTAGTGCCTGTGGGGCAAGCAAGAATGTTTCGTAAGTGGTCCAGAAACGTGCTCACGACAGGACCTAGCAAACTATAACCCTCCCCTGGATCAAAGCCTTTGCAACGAACTTCTCTGGTGCTCATGTTGCAGAATCCGATGGCTTGTAGACATGTTCCTGGCACTCCACGATCGAGTGCTTCGCCACTTCCTCCAGGATCGAGTCCTACCGCCGCACGACTATCGCCTGGTGAACACGGCGCGATTGTTGGTGAAGTTCCTCGGACGTCAGGGTGGGCGGCAAGAGGGAAGGCAAGAGGGAAGGTTGGCCTCCCGAGTTTTCCAAAGCCTCCTTGCAATCGCAATCCTCTGGGGTGGGAACGAAATCGCTACGCTGGAGTTACTCCAAAGAGTGAAAAAGGATGACAAAGGAGAAAGGGTCAATTTTTCGTGGTTTGGGCGCTGTTGTGCAAGCGGAGAAGGGTAGAAGAAGACTTGATTTAAGTATATAAGAAGACTCACCCCATCCCCAAACTCTTACTGCCGCAAGTCCTGATGCCATTCCTCACGCGGAGGTCCATGGCACCATACTATGAGGTGAATGCCGTGGATCGCTCCAACGGTTGCTCGACGGGCCAAACACGAGAATTTGGACCGTCCACCCTCCAAAAGGTGCCAAAAATGTGCTCAGAGACGTCCAAGGGTAATTACATTATTGTTTGAAATAGCTTCTTGTTACTATTAGTAAGGCACTTGTTACTACTAGTAAGGCACTTGTTCCTAGTAGCTTATTGTTCCTGAGGTATATGGTGACACGATTGCAGATGATAAAGCACCATGAGCAGGGTGTGGACAGCTAAGCAGTTTCGATCGCTGGATCGGCTGGAGAATTCGACCTCGATTTGCGGTGGATCGGTGTTCTGATGTGTTAGGTTCGAGAGAGGGTCACGGCAGAGACATGGGGGCTTGATGGATCTTAATGGAGTTTTCATGAGCTTTCGAAGAGCGCATCCTGCTGTTTGGAATCCAAGGACTACACTCATTGACAGATTGCTTTCGCTTGAGGTTTTCATACATTGCACGGTCAAATGAGACTTTACAAACCATTAAAAGCAGCTCCCCGCCACCACAGCAGAACAGTGGTATTAGTGGTTTCTTTGAGCGCTTAGAGGCCGCGCAAGACTCGCTGGCGCCAAGACCGCTTCACTTGAGGCCCCACCTGAGCGGACAGTCCTCTAGGACGGATAGAAGACCAGTCCTCGTATATCCAGACGTGTTCCGTGGTCACGTCCTCTAGCACAGGATGATTCGGGTTATTCTGGCAGCAAAGACCAGCCATTGCAAGACACATTGTGGCCAGTTTCCTTGTGATAGCTAGAGCATATGGCCCACAGGTCCACCTAGCATAAATGCAGATGCCATGGGGCCATGACACATGCAGAGCCAACGTGCATTTCTCTCTTTCGCAATTTTTCGCTAAACCCGGCTGCAAGGCTTTGTGGGTTTGCTGATTGGGCGCTACCCTGGTGATACGATGCTCAGTGGAAGATTAAACATGTTCTCCAGTTGTCGGCTGTTGTGGACACCTGCGAAATAGACATACACAGAGCTTGGACTCGCAGGACAGCCTTCGTGCCGAGGTAAATCAGGATTCGGGGCTTCCCACCTTGTTCTCAAGGAGAAATGGGAAGGAATGATTGATGATTGATGATTGATGGATGAGGATGAGGATGAGGATGAGGATGATGACGACGACGATGAGATGTCGACGATGGTGATGATGCCATTTTTTTTCGGGGTCCTTGGCCTTGGTCACCGGAGTTCAGATAGATAAAGGAGAGTCGTAGTCCATTCCAGTCATGAGAGTCGGTCCGCGCGCGAAGACCTTTGGGCACCGAGCTGGTCTGATGTGGAACGAGGTACTGTGGCTACGGCGACTGCCCCAAAAACGACTTCGGCAATCCCTGGTTCATCACCACCCACGCGCTAGCTGAGCAGCTGCCGCCTGGGGGCAAAAGCGGTGGGTGGCTACCGATGTGAGCCAGGAAGGTACATAAAGATATTACTTAGATCACACAAATCATAGGTGTTGCAATGCGTGACTACTACTCTCTGGGCATCTAGCTATATAATTACATGATTTTTAAAATCTATCAATCTATAGTCTATATATCTACCAGTGAACGGTTCCAACATGAAAGCTCTTCGGGCCCATCGAGAGAGAGAGAGAGGGCAAAGGCTGACATGTCGAAAGCTCCAAAGGCTCCAAAGGCTCTTCGTCGAACTTGCATCTTTTTTCTCAGCCTTTCTTCATTTATCTTCCCAAAGGCTCCAGAGTCTGGACCCGTTCCCTGGAGAGTCCGCAAGACTCTCCCTGAAAACATGTAGCAGCTTAGCAGTTGGTTTGGGTCCATAAGCCTCTGAGTTGATTTAATAGTTGAACTTGCCCATTTTGGGCTACCAAAACTTGAGCAGCAGCTTCTATGAGACATGCTGCCGAGGTACTTCCTGGCGTTCGCCTGGTGCAAAGACCAGTTGAACCTCCAGGATGCCAAAGCGGTCTCGCATCTCTGGGAGGAACTCTCACACGGCAAAGCGCCTGGGCAAGCGTCTGGCAGCTGCAGTTCCACCCCTCAGTATGCCATGAAGATCGCTAAAAGATCTTCAAGATCGCGTTGGTCATTGGTCATTGATCCCTCCTGACTCCTGACTATCTCCGTTTTCTCTGGGGTGCGGGTGTCAGGTAGTTAGTTGTTCAATAGTGTCCAGGCGTTTTCTTGTTCCATTCGCACTTGCACCGCCTTGCATCAGCCCGCCCCGTCGACCGTCTCCATCCACCGAGGTGACCGGCTGGAACACCATCCAGATGGGTGATTCGGTCATGAAAAATGCCAAGGTGCGGATCTTCCGCGCGCGCGTGGGGGGGTGCGGCCCTGACCGAGAGATCGTGAATGCATCCTGCGCCCGGTCTGCCCGGTCTGTGCCGGGTTGGGGGTGTTTGGACCGGACCGAGTCCAGCTTCGCCAGGTGAGAAGGATGGTGTCTTCCAGCTTCGTGCCACGATGTCCCACCCGATTATATATGGTTCCTTTGTTCCGATCGCGTGGAGGGATGATGGCCTCCTGGAAGATGGCTTTCGCTACTACTCAACCATACTACAGGCCTTGTGTTCCACAGTTGGGCGGTCGTCCTCCATGGTCCATGGGCTTATCAGGTCAGCTGGGCCTGATGCCCTCGTGCCAGGAGCACGTCATCATGCCCGGAGTTCACATGTCTGAAGAGATCAAGAAAAGTGGTCCAGATGCAGGCGACTTTGGCTTTCTTTACTGTACTGTAGGTTCAAAGCAGGTAGCTGTTGATTGCAGATCCCCCATATGAAGAGGACATCCAATTCAAAAGAAACGGAGTCTACATTAAGGAGAGTGTCTTTTTCCCCCCTCCAGCCTGTCTTAGAGGTCTTCGTCCACCTGAGGCCGTCGGGTCGTGCATCGGGCGGTGCACGAGTGAGTGTTGGGGAGTTCTGAGAAGGGGATGAGAAGGGATGACCGGCAGGGTGACTCCCAAAAGTTTGGGACATCACACAAAGATTCACAAAAAATAGGTACAAAGTAAGCTTATGGTACTCCTCGAATGGTTCCGCGTCCGTCTACGGACCTCGCCGTGGATGCTGAGGTCAGCAGGCGGGGGTGCCGGACCTCACTTGGTCCTATTCCTCGGCGTTGTCTGCGCTGCTGGCGCGGCACCAGGCGATTCGCGCATGCAGGCGGAGGGGGGGCGAGACAGTGTCGAGCGTGAAACACGGGGCCATGGGAGTGGAGAGAGGCAGTTTTGGAGCTACATGAGATGAACGACAAGACTTGCGACAAGACATCACCAATAATATAACTCTTACGTAATAACCTGCAAGAACGCTTCTCAGGGAAGGGCTTCTAACTTACAACTGGTACGACTCGTTCTCTCAGTCTTACCTCCCTTTTTGGAGGTTCCAATGCGTGCTTTTCACGGATGCTTGGATGAGCCAAACGCCTGGCAAGTTGGTCCCTCGCCCTCCCCACAAAACCTGCGACGCCAGGAAGGATTGAGCCGCTGTGCTGGAAAGGGCGGTGGAGGACAGGGGCGGTTGAGCTCCGCTGGTGGGAGTCACAGGAAAAGCTGGAACTCCCCTTCACGACCGGAACGATGGAACTCCCAACTGCTGATCCTCCTCTTTCTGGGATAATAGAACTCCGCTGCCATGGCTCCGGGATCGGTTGCCCGGAGCATCCGATAACTTCTAGAACACCCAACTTTTGAAGTAGACTGGATATGAAAACAGTCCCGTGGTTTCGATGTGACGATGAGGGTCCGGGCCCCAAATCTCTTCGGATGATCTTCCAAGCAGCTGGCGAAGTCCACGAAACGACATGGACATGGAAGAACCCCAACAACACTGGGTTGTGGTAGGAAACAGGTCGAAACCATGTGTCGATTCTCCGGGTCCATGGTGTATTATTTCAACTCTGGGAGTATGTGCTAGACTGTTCAACGAATGTCTCACCAGGCTGGCGAACTCCATTGCTTGCCCTTTTTTCTGCCATGGGCCTTTGAAGTGGATCGTTTTGCATCAGACCTCGGGTGGGATGACTAAAGGGGTGGTGAAAAGAGAAAACAGTTCGTACACCTTTGTTGGCCAGGTGCTTTGCATGATTCAGGCAGTTGGAGGTTGTGAGGTGTTTCGCCCGATAGTGGCAATTCTCAGCTTGGTTCCCCAAACATTCTGAGGTGTTTCAATACCGTGTTTTAACCTAGCAAGATGGTTTTGGGGTGCTGGGAGGGGAGAGGTGGTCGTGTCGTTGGTGGCTGCAGTTGCTCGACTAAGGCATTGGCCCTTGGTACAGACATCGAGCATAGATCTTGAACCACTCCCGCGAAAGCACCAGGGAACATGAGCTGACAATGGCCGAAAAACTGAGCTGGACGCATGGACCTGGCCTGCGACCAAAACCATGCAAAAAACTAACTTGGGTGGCATACTGCAATATTTATATAATATAGTTGGAGATGCTCTCAGAGTGGGCAGAGCCCAACGGATTTCTAGTCTATCTTACTCAGCACATCTCTGCACTCTGCACTTGCATGGAGAGGCCCAAAGCATTCACCGTGATTCTTCACCGCACCAGGAGGACGTACCAACCAAACCATCCCCAAACCATCCCAAACCCTTCACCGCCGTTTTCAGGGCTTCCCCTTTGGGGACTCCGGAACGGCTCAGTTCCGGGGTGCTTTTGACTTCCGGGGAGCGGGCCCCGACAAAGCTCGACGCCTCTTGAACGCTCAAGCGACGCCGAACGAAGCGACCCACTGGCCAACCAATCGGGTCGGTGGGGCGAAGACCGGCAGAAGACCGGGGGGCGAAAAAGGACCGACCGACCCGCTGCGCTGCGGGGTTCGAGCGAGAGGTGGATGGGGAGATGAGTGGAGTTCTGGGTGTTTTGGTCCGGGGAGCATCGCAGGTGAAAACAACATAAAGGACAAGTTCTGGACATGAAAACGTCGTATTTTCAGACCAAGCACGGGGGAATTGCATCTAGACGCAACCTCCCTCAAAAGGAGCTAAGCTATGCAAATTTTGAAAGACTACGCTTCCTCTCCAGGGCAACCCTACCCACTAAATCTGCGTATTCCCTTTTTGCCAAATCTGTCATGCTCCATTATGACAGAGTCTATGCCGTCGGAACTTCCGTTCATGAAACGGCACAATTTGTACCAGCGAGTGAACAAATGTCTTAGATTGAAACAGTCTTTGGATACCATTCCGCTTGATCCGTGAATTGGGAATTAGGTCGCATTCGTAGTTTCATTTAATTCGCGTCTCGGTTGACCTGGGGATATACCGGATAGACCTCCGACGTGGTTGGTACAGGGGTAGTTACTTGAGTTGTTGTCCAGCTTATCCTCCAGTACCCCCTAATGGGGAAGGACTCGGAGGTCAGGATCGGTGCGCAAGTTGTGTGGGTGGACATGAACGTCGTATTTTCAGGGACACGCTGGGACGACCTGAAGGACAACTATAGAAGACCGAGGCGGCTCGTCACACGAAGACCATCGCGAAGACCATTTGGTTCAGATCAAAGCCCTTCCAGCGGTCCGCCTCAAGCCGTTTGAAGTCGAAGAAGGCATGGGCAGCTTGGCTGATTCAAGGTGGAGGATGGCAAGCAGACAGGTGCCTTCAGCACTTCCCAGCCCCTTCCGAGTGACAGAAGTGTGGGGGATCGGAGGGCTCATGGGTCCCAAAAGACCACACGCCGTCTGCAAGACCCATCGGATGCTGGGGTTGGGCCCGCACCAGCTCCACCCACCCCCGACTTCGACCGAGTCTTCACCGAGGCTTCAACCGTGGCAACACCGTGCTGGCCCTCGGACCTGAGAAGTGCCCACTTCCGCGGGCGATGTGGACCACCACGGCGCCGCTCCAAACCGACGATCGGGGACACGCCCCAAAGGTGATCGGGACCCTTCGACCGACACCGGTGCGCGCGGTGAGACGCGAGGTCTGCTTCCCTCGAACACTGGCAGGTACCATCCCCAGAAGACGCACTTCTGGAAGGGCACGGAGGAGCTTGAGCGCTTCCCTCCCGCGTACGCCGAGCAGAATGAAGCCTTTGAGGTGCTTGAACCGTGATGGTTTGGGGGGGGGGCCTGCATGGAAAGCGGGGAAAGGTTGGAGGAGAAGTTAGTGGACATGACCGCTTAGTGCCAGTGGAGAGACATGGAGAGACGTTTAGAAGTTAGGTGATGGTTGGCTTGTAATGATGTGATAGCATGAAGGTGCTTACATTGACTTGGCCATACTTGGCCGCTAGCAGGTGAACGTCACCTTGGCCAGTAGGCTCCCTACACCATGGCCCACACCAATCGTTTTCCTCCTGGTGGGAGGAGTGGTGATCTTCAGACCACGGGCCTCAAAGGATATCATTCCGCGCATGGAGGTGGCTCAGAGATTCTCTTCGGGATCCTCAATTGAGGGGCACTGCCGAAGGGGCGACGCCTGCATGCGAGAAACTTCAACACCCTAAACTCCTGCCAAACATGTAGCACTCTGTTGAGACTGTATTTATTGTATACAGATATATACAGTATATATTACTATAAACACACACACATATGTATATATATATATAATAGACATAGCGTTTATATATAATGTGATAATATCCAATATGGTGTTGGAAGGAGTTTCACTTTCGAATCTCTCCGTCTGACACCGAACCGCTGTGTCCAGGAATATTTGCAGAACCGCTCGTTGGCGCCTTCGCGTCACCAGTTGGCGCTGAGGAACTCGCTGGGCGCCCAGGAACTCGCTGAGCGCGGTTTGTCCTTTACGTGACGCGCGCATACGCGCGGCACATGCCCGAGTCACGTGAATGCGGTTCTGAGTGGGATTTCAGACAGGGAACCTGTTGCCTTGAGGTTGTCCGGTCGCGCTAGCAAGCTTCGCCAAGGGAAGTCAGGTTAGACAAAGACCTTAATTGATGAATTGAACTTTTACCACTGAAAACGCCATGGAGGTTTCTTGTATTCCTTCAAGGTGCATTTGGTAGTTGGGGAGGTTGTGTATCTCTCTATCTCTTGTTCTGGTGCTGTGCACCCGCCGTCCAGGTCCGGGCTCATGGAGCTGCATTATGAGACCATGAGGACGGAAAGAATATGCAGGGAGCAACCAGTAGCTGGCAGAGCATTGAAAAAGCAGACACTTCAAGGAACCGGCACTGGCAGTGGCCTCCCAACCTACAGTGCAGCCTGGCCTCCCAACCTACCTGGCAGCTGGCCTCCACCCTACGAGCGAAAAAGGCTTTCACCTTCGATCCACCGATGCTTGGAGGATGTCTCGGTCTTGACTCGGCTCCTTGCGTCAGGAAGAAGGCGAAGGAGCGCGCCGCGCATCCGGTGCAGAAGAAGCTGCCCAGCATGGACAGGGCGCCTCGGCGTGGACAGGACCGCGAGTCCGGAGGATGGAAGGAATGGATGTGGGATGGCTTGGAGTGGCGAGGGGAGTGCAACCTCATTGATGGCAATCCCTGAAACATTGGTCATGTCATGTCGGGCCACCCACGCCCACACAATCTAAGATCCCACAATCATCCACAATCTAATTACTGCAAGAGTAGCAGAAAAACCCAATTCACCCAACTATGTGATGCTTCAGCTTGACTCGCCTCATCTCTCACCTCTCCTCGGCTCAGGCCTACACCGCCTGCGCCGGCTACAGTGGCGCGCAGGGGGGGGGTCCACGTGGGGCGCGGGGCTTGCTGTTGGTCTGGCGAGGCATCTGTCAGGTCTGAGATGACCAGCAAGGGCCTCTGAGGCACCAAAATGCGAGTCAAAATGCCTAGAAGCCTTCTGTCAGCGCCATGCTGCAGAAAGTCCTACTTAGCTGTCTGAAGTGCACCAAAAAGGGCCAGAAGTTGTTTTTCATCATTTCCAGAACTGGTCCCGCAGATGCTCATCGCTTCGATCACCCCTCCCCCTCCTCACATTCCCCAGCGCCTGGACTCCGGCGGGGTAGAGCGTCGTGCCGGTGAGGCTTGATCCCGGGTAAGATCTCCGGCGGTATTGTGGGGAACCGAGCACATGGGCACGAGATGGGGGCGGTGGCTGGGCCTGCGGCCCATGGCGTTGAGTTTTTCGCGGCTTCCGGGGTTGGTCTTCAGGGGTTGGTCGAAGGTTTTTTCAGGTTTTTGCGAGGAAATTGAAGCTGCTCCCTCAAGAGTAACTGAGAAACAAGGCATGCTAACAGCACGGGACAGCGCGACCAATTGGGTTGCAATTTCAATGGCTTTTTCGAGTCCCTTCTCCTGCAGGACTTCCTTGTGCCGATTTGGAATCAGGGTGGGCCACACAACTACAGCAGAGTTTCAGTTTTGGTGTTCTTTCTGTTCTGAGAAGGGGTGGTAATTCGCCTTCTTATGATTGAAACGCCCAAAACTCACAACCGTTTTGGATGGCGTTTCTTGTATTAGAACGGACAAGTACATGTGTGCCGCACCGAATGAGGTCGCGTGCCGAACTCCGCAACTCCGTTCCTCGTTTCGTTCCTGCTTTTTGCCCGAGCACATCGGAGAAGTCAGAGCAGATGAGGACCGTAAGAGCGGCGAGTGTCTTTCGCCTGTGGGACGTGAAGCAATTCGAATAGCTATATACATATTGCATGGCTAGCGGCTATATAAGCCCGCCCCCATTAAGAACAGCTCAGATGTCCCTTCTCAGGAATGTCCTGTTGGTGTTTCATTCTTAGATATTCTTGGTGGATGGCCCTGGCTCATGTGGAGCTTCCTTGGTTCATTGGTGGAAGCTAGAATCACTCAGAAATATTGATGGTCAATCTTCATCATACGGTGGTTCTTCTACTTTCATTTTCTTTGGATGGAAACGGGTGATTTCTTTCATCAATTCATCTCTTCATTGCTCGATGGACCAATGGATCCGGGATCCAGTTCAGGCACGTGGGCCGTTCGGAGTCGGCCTTTCAAAGCACGTCTATGGCCTGGCTGTGCCAAAGAGCCAGCTGCTGTTGACGGGCGGCGTCCGGTCCTATATAGACTTGCACCGCAATCCACTCGCACCGCATGTAAGTCTAGCTACGCTGTATATCCAAAGCAATAAAACCCCGCAAAGATCAAACATCCAAACGGCGTTCCTGGTTCATTCGGAAGCAGGTAGGTGGGACCGGATTTCGCCCATGTAACAGTATGAGCCATGAAGACCTTACTGGCTCGACTCTTCGATTGCGGCGATGATGCCTGTTGCTTCAGCTTTCTCAAGGCGTAACGGACTGGACATTGCTCCCTTCAGGGTGTGTGGCATGACCCCCCTGGCCGTTTTGCCCCCCCAAGCATCCAATGTGCTCATCGACAGCCCCCTTTAAGCAAAACCTTCCTCAGACTCAGACATCCTCAGACCATGGGTTCCACCATGCTTGTGATTGCATTGTAATGTGGAACGATGTTAGGTGGAATACGGTGGAATGCCAGCAATATTGAAGGTTCGCACATGCTGTTTGTTTTGCGTCAAAGGTTCACAAATGAATCAACGAAACGCGTGTTTTGACACACAACGACACAACGCGTTTCGTTTCCAAATGCGTCGAGGAGTTCTGCAACCAGGGCTGCGGAACGAACCTCGCAAACCTCTCCCGGTCGAACGACGACGGTGACGAGACAAAGACATCCGTGCTGGCCGGATCGGCTAAGCCCTTTTTCGTAGCCTTTTTTGAAGTCCATGAGTAACCAGCAAGGAAGAATCCATAAGAATCCTCCTGTTCAGCTGGAAGAATCCCACCAAAGCTGACCGCACAATCAAGCGGAGATCCTGCCACCTTAGCCGCTGGCCGGCGAACCGCCGCACCAACGACGCGCCCAGGGACGTGCGCGTCACTTCTATGCCGACGATGGCAACGCGGGGCGACGCGGATGGAACTCGACCTTGGTTGGTCCAAGACGACCTCGGTTGGTCCAAGACGACCTCGGTTCTGCAAGCAGATTGTGGTTTGCAGATGTCCCTGTTTGATCCTGTTTGTGGAGAGACACGCAGGACATCCAGAAATCCCCAGAAGGCCCCAGAAGCAGGAAGAAAAAGAAGAGAGTTCCATTTAAACCAGCCGCTAAATCCACACAAGTCGATGGTGGAGAAACGGACCCTGGGAGGGTTTTCCTTGGGTTCTTTGAGACACTCCGGCACCCTCCCACATCAAACCTCCTATGACCTACCAAAAGAAACCGCAGACCCGTTCACCTCGGTCTGAGCTCCATGACCCCCCCCGGTCAGGTTCGTTGCAACGCCCCCGCCGTCCGAAGCGTCGCCGGCCGAGGCACTTGCGGCTGCGTTCGGAGCCCGACCTGGACTCGCCAGGCGTGGTCCGGGCGTCGGTTGGGACGTCGGGGAACGGCCACGAGATAGGCCTCAGGGTGTCGGTGGGACACTTCGGTGGGATTATAAAGGGCTAGGGGTGGCCACTGGTGGATGTCAGGGGATTTGCTTGGTCCCGTTTCAACCAGTTAGATGGATTCATTGGTTCATCCCTTCGTGTCAGCTGGAGGTCAGGCCGCCCCCCTTTGCGCTTCCGACTTCCGACCGCCGTGCCCCGCGCAGTTCACCGTCCGCGCGCGCGAACGCACCTTCGCCGTCGTGCTCCGTTGGGATGCGGCCGTCGCGGCGGGCAGGTTCGAACAGCCCGATGGTGAGGCGGTCCCGCACCTGGAGCGCGAGCCAATTCACCAAGAACTTCCGCCCCTCGAGTCGTGTTCAGTGCGAGTCGTGTTCGGAGCCGGTGGTTCGGTGGTTCGGAGCGGAGCGGAGCTGCTAAGCTGGTGACCTGGTTCTGTCTCTTTTCTCACCACTGGGCTGTTCTTACTGGGCGAGTCTGGGGAGAGAGAGAGAGGATTTTTCAAAAATTAATTTTTGATGTCCGGAATGTTTGCAGTTGGTTTCTGCAGTTTCCATTGCTTTCACAATTTCTGAAGAGCTAGTACTTGTTTGAAGGCTTCGTCCTTTGCATGAGCACGCCTGAGGCCACCTTCAGCGGATGATGAGCTCACCGAAGCTGGGCTTTGCAAAGAGAGGCCTACGAGGTGAAAGCAGGTAGCAACAGCTGTTTGGGTTTCTCTCCCTGCAACATCATGGAAGTGGACAAGGTAGAGGAAAATAGATTCCAAGGGGTCATTGTCCACTTCCATGATTCGGGGGCTAGTAGAGGAACATCAGTGTTGGATGGGATGTGTGCCAGTGAAAGGGGGCAATCTTCGACTAGGCTATGGCTCGCCTTACGCTTTAAACATGCTTGATGTGTCCTTGTGTTTGCATTGCGCATGGCTGATGTAGCTCCTATTTAGGAGATTTTACTGAGACTTACTGTCTCTCCTGGACCTTCAAATGCCAATCCAGTCGACCAACCTCCGACCAACCTCCGACTGGCCCCGGTTTTGCCTTCCCACCCAAAAAATCATGGATCACCAGCCTTTAGGCTGGGGATGGGATGGGGGACACTGCAGACACCCAGTATCAACTCCAACAGCTGGAGTTCGTTCGCTTCACCGGGAGGGATTCGATGGATCCCGACGGGCTTCGGCCCGCGCCCAGGAAGCGCTTGAAGGCGGATGAGTTGGACTTCGGACAGCTGAGTCTGCACGACCGGGCGACCAGCATCATGGACCTCTGGCCGCTCGGCCGGGGAACGTCGCAGGCGTGCGGGCACCGGTGGGGGCACGGGCGAAGGGACGGCAGGGTGGGGGTTGGCCCTTGGGGTTGAAGGAAGGTCTTTGGTCCATATGGTGCGCATTCCCTTTTCAAGGGAGTTGTTGGTACGACCGCTGATTCTTCTGGGGATGGATGCGCTCGGCGTTTGTATGCCTGGTTGGTTCGTCCGTGCTGCTTGGCTTAGTCCGTGGCTAGGGCGGCTAGGGTGCGCTTCGGTGCACGTTTCGCACACCGCATCCGCCGCCTGGCGCTGCTCCAGCGTGACCCACACACCGAGCGAGGAAGATCCGGGGACAGTACCGCCCAATCACCGCCTTCTATGACTTCGAACGGAAGCTGGGCGAGGCCAGGCGCCAAAGAGGTGGAGAGCAGGGCGATGTGAAGCGTTCATAAGTGCCCAGGATCATTTGGAAGGCCGAAATGCTCATACCAGGCAGGCATGCCGTATGCCGTATGCCAACATACGTAAGTGCCAGCATATGCAGATTGCAGCATGATGGTCGGCGTACACAGTACACGAAGCCATTCAGCAGACCCGCGCGCGCGGCCAGGGCGCTTTTGGCTCGGTGGCCAAGTGGCGCATCAAAGGCTCCCAGCAGCAGGTGGCGGTGAAGCGGACGCCTGGCGCGGCAGCGGACGCCGCGGTGGTGGGGTAGGTGGAGGAGGGTGGCGGCGTGGTACGGTGGATGGCTTTGTCCAGGAGCTGAAAGGCGCTTGTGGAGATCATTGGTGCGCAATTGGTTCGGAGATTATTGTTTTTTGGTCAATGGCTATGGCGGGTATTACGGCGGCCATGGTGGATGGGTGATGGGTAGTTGGATGGTGGATGGGAAGAGGCCTTGCAATATTTTGCAATGGAAAAACCTCTAAGGAGTTTGTTGAATGTTAGTGCAGGGTTGGCTGTTTTAATATCCCCCGTGATTGTGGGCTTATAAAATGCAGATCCTTTTCCTTTACAACATGCAAATTCCAAGACATATTTTATAAACATTAGGGATTGTTTGTTTAAGGATAACTACCCGACTCGAAATTCTTAGCATTTCTTAGCCACATCCACACGTCCTTACCATTGGCTTTTCATGAGCCGGCAGACGGATGTGTACGAACGGCCTCACATCGCGAGGATCAAATGGCGGGCCATTTGGCTCCTTGGTGCGACGGGTGCATGGATAGGGTCCAACAAAGGACATGTTAGAGGGAGATGGAAAGACTTGCACCTACACCAGGGCAAATGTCGAGCAATTCTAGATTCCACATGGGCTCTTCGTTGATCTTGGTTGTTCTTGGGAGGTTAGCTGACCCACAAACGTGGAGAAGGTGGAGGGCCTTTGCACTCCCCAAAAGTAGTCATGGGAGTGGAACATAGGCCACTGGAAGACCATGTTCTACATTTTTTCTTTTACAAACAGATGGTGTTCCACTTCCATGTTAATGACTTCCATGAGTAGTAGTTGCTTAGCAAGAGCTCAGGTTCTTGCGCCACGCCCTCTCTCAGGCATGGCTTCTTTCGGAACCGTGCGGCGGAGAAGGCGATCCGCAAGGAGCTCAAGCTGCTCTTGGTCCTGGACAACCCCTTCATCATCAAGCGCCTCGGCGTTCTTGGTTTTGGAGACGCACCGTTTGCTCTTGGTTCATGTGGGACCCCCCACACCACAAACGGCACGTGTTTGCATGTGCTTTGCCCTGAAAAGTACCACTGTGCACTTGGTAAGCCTACGGCTGGGTTGGGTTTGTACTCTGCGTGGGGTGGCGTCCCCCCCCTTGCCATGATGATTGTGGATGCACGTGTTGTTGAGGACCATTGAACTACACTTACCTCCCACTATGTCGGTTTGTTTGCTATGTAGGTGCTGTGATTGTTTTCTTCAACATTCTTTGTTTCGACTGATTTTCTCCCTTCTCTCCCCAATAGAGAGGGCTGTACAGAACCTCCAATAACTTCCGCTTGGCTCAAGCTTCGTCCTTGGGATTCGATGCTGCTCAGGTTTCGCGAGTGGTTTGAAGACCTGTTCAAGGGCATTTTCTTCGTCATGGAGCTTTGCTCGGGCCCGTCCCTGCAATCCATTCTAGAGGAGACACTTTCTGACCAATTTCTTGTATTTTCTTGTTCCACTCAATGAAGTTGTTTTTGGTATTTTTTTGGTATTGTTTCTGTCTTGTTGTTTTTTGTTGTTTGTTCATGAGGTCCCGTAGTGTCCTGTCCTTTTTTCATCCCCGCGTGTTTGGTGGCTTGTTTTCTCGCCAGTGCAGCTGGGTATGCGAGCGCTCCACTCCACTCCACTCCACTCCACTCGACACTGCAGCATGATATAGTTGGCTCACCCAAGCTTTGCGCTTGGGCATTTGCGCAAAAAGGGCACTTTGCGTGCCTTGCGTGCAGGATGTATGCCGCCAACCGGAGGTCTCAAGGCGAAGCTTCCTGCCCAAGCTGCGGCGGACGCTTGGAGGATGAAGGTGATTTTTGTCCTTCTACTTCTAGTGGATGGGAAGAGGTGAGGAGGGAATCCAGAGATGGTGGGAGGAGTATGGTACTATATGGTACTATTACGTACTATGTATATAATATCATCTGTATCTGTATATCGATCATGATGGATTTCTTGCCTGGAGTGAGAAGCTTCCATCAAAGGTGTTTGCCAGATGTTGGCGCCAAAAATCGAAAAAACAGAGTATGCGCCAGCGCTTCCTGCACCAACATTCTTCGAGACGCTTCCGCGTGATCACCACTCCTTTTGAACGACAGATGGGCCGAGACGCCCGCGACGCAAGGGCGGCTCGTCCGACCCCGTACGGGTCGGATCTCGAGGCACTTCCGTGAGGTCACGTATGCCATCAGCTACCTCCACGGCATGGACCCTCCCGTGGTCCATCGAGACCTGTGCCTTGGGCCATGGGTGGGGGCGGGGTGTACCCGTGGTGCGGGTCCTGTCCGGAAGGGACACCCGGCTAGACGGGAACGGAGACTTCATTTGGCCACCGGTGCCTGTGACGCTATCCACCGTTTCCCGTGCGTCGGACGGCCACGGCTCGGGTCGATGGCCCCAGGAAGCCCGAGAACATCCTTTTGGCCGATGCCACCGAGCACAGCACTGCTCGGCCGGGAGCCCTGGGGCTCCCGGTGTGGCTGAAAAAAAAGCGGAGAAGCCCCGCCGCAGGGGGGGGGAGCTGCTAGGAGGTGCGGTTCTTGAGGTTCTTTCTTGAGGTTGTTGTGCCATCTACTCTGAAACCACTGTAACGAGTCTTCCAAATCCGGGAAAGCAGATGTGAATTGTGACCTCCCCCCACTCTGAGCACGACACACGTTTTTGCCGGCGAACGGGTTCCCCATGCGATGCAGCGGTGCCAGGCTCATTGATTTCGGGTTAGCCTCCCTGAAAACGGATCAGGAGGCAGGGCAAGGGACGAGGAGGCATCCGACCGATTCTCCAACGACCTGGTTCATATATGGTGATTTTTTGGGTTTCTGAAAGTAGCAATCCTGATGTCATCCGATGGCGATCCTAACATAGGCCAAGACAAAGCGAGCGGACCTGGACTCTAACACCAATCTGGCTCACTTCTGCATACCAAATCCATGATAGGCGTGGTTGGGGTCATTCAATCACCTTCTCTATTCTGGTTCCTGATGCCGTATCTTGCAAGTAGCTGCTGGAGCGGTGTTTTGGGGGCTCCATTCATTTGTGTGACAGCTTTGCCTGTTCTTGGCGGGGGCTGCTAGAGGAAACACTGACTGGCAGGAGCACTTGGCGGTGGGGACGATGGTCTTTATGGCACCTGAGACCTTCACCGATGTGAAGGCGCAAATGTGGAGGTTGAAGTCAGTTTTGATGGATTTTGATGTATGGATGATGAGATGGGGGTAGTGTATGGCATGGACATCAACAACCACGTTTTTTTTTTTTAATTTTTGATTCTGTAGCGATGCCGTGACTCCACCTCTGACTCTCCTTTCAACCACGGTGAGATGTTTGATGATTGATGATGTTTGTACATGCTTGTGCTTCATATGCTCAAGGACCACGTCCCAAACCCGGTGGCACACTTTTTGAGCCAGGCACCCATACTGCATATCATGTAACAAAGAGGTTGCACATTGACGCCCATTGTCCTGAACCCTCCGACCAGTGGCAGGAAAGACAAATCATGAACCCATCGCCTCACTAGTCAGACATTCAGAGAGTGATTGTCTTCATTCACCCCATCCCCGTGGCAGACCTTCTTCTTCTTCTTCTGCTTCTGCTCCTCCCTAAACCCTGCCTGCCCCCCCCCAAAAGAAAAGCCGTCGTCACAATCTTGAAGGCCCAGCTGGATCAGCAGACCGACATCTGGGCCTTGGGTGTGATCTTCACGTGGATCGTCACTGCCCTGGAGCCCCTTCGGCCCAATCTCGAGCATCAAGCATGGAGTCGGAGCATCGTGGCTTTTGTTGGCTTCCGAATCTGGGAGAGGGTTTATGCGTGGGTTGCATGGGCCGTGCTCGGGCCGTTCTTGGACAAAATGCCGAGAGGCAGGGAGGAGATCCATATGTTTTCATCTCGATGAATTGCACATCCCGCACAAGGGCGCGACTGGTGTTGAACTGGTGGAAACACTAAGTGCAACCATACACTGTAGCATCCGTGCACAGCAAGAGTGCGCAAGTGCCGTTTGTGTTGTGAAACACGTCCAAAAAGCAGCCTTCAACTGACCTCTAACCAGCCACGACCCTTGCGCCTCGCCCTGCTTGACGTGCAAGGGCGCGCTCTTCACTGTCCGCCCGCTCTTAGCGGATCGCGAGGCTGGGCTCCCTACAGCATCCCTGTCTGGAGCCCGAGGATGGCGAAGAGTTCAATGTCCGCTGGATCGACCTGTGCGCTGGCGCCCGGCGTGTGTTGAGGACCCGACTGCCGAGTCAACTCACATAGACCCTTTTCCTGTCTGGCCCCACTGGGTCCGAGCGTTTTCCTCGTCCCCCAAGCGACGTGGTTTTCAGGGTCGGGATCGCCGACACCAGGGTGTAGAATGAACCGATCACAACCCAAACAAACCTCAGTCTTCACGTCACAACCCTGTCGAAATGATTTGATCATTTTGATCCTTCGCCCTTTCTTACACACCCGGCGCTCGCTATGGCGCCGCGACCGGCGCCATCGGGCTCGTCACGCGAGGTACAACGCGTTCCGCGACCGAGTGCCGTGGAACCGTGCGCTGATTGCGAGCTATCCCACGGTGGGCAGCATCCTCGACAAGGCGCAGGGGTCGAGGGCCCGGGCCGTTTTCCAAGCCTCCGACGAGTCGGACGGGCAGGTGGGAGAGGTGGGAGATCTGGTAGAAAGCCAGTCAGAAGGACAAGGTGAAATGAAACTGAGCAGAGGAAACCATCAGGACTTTTAGGGTGTGTGTGACAAGTAGGGCCCCCCACAAAACATGGAGTGACCAGCAGTTCCACTTGGGGCGCTGGAGTGTGTTTATGATCATCCACGCTTGGGGTCTACAGACCAATCCTGTGGCACTGCTAGTAGGTTAGTAGGAACTTCAAGCTTCCTGTTTGGCTGTGGCACACGGTGGCCGGTGGCGCAACTTCTAGGTGTTGGTCTACCAGCCCTCCGCGCGCTGCGGCGCTGCGGCCATCCTACAGGAGTGGAGCGGTTCCAGCGGAGGTTCGGCTTTTCCTTTTCTTTGGGGCCGATGATGTTTTCTCGTGTTTGTTTGGACGAGTTTTTCGTTTTTTAAGGACGCGTTTTTCTCCCAACCTCCCCCACACACCTCCATCCAACAGCGGTCCTCCATCTCGTCTTGGGGGACACCGACCTGACCCAAGTCCGGCATCGTGGGCCCCGGTGTTCTCGGGCGAATCGCCTTTGAGGTCCACACGGCCTCAGATCGCCCGGTGGAACACCAGACCTAGATCATCCTAGATCTATATCTTCCAATCCAAGGTGTGTCCTGTCCCATAAGTAGTGCAGGGACTTCCATTGGGTGACCCTGACACGGCTGGAAAGTATATGGAATGTATAGTCGAAGGTATGTAGTATGCTCTGAAACATTTTCCGTTCGGTTTGGACCTGCTTGGTGGACGCACCGACTTCGTCCCGTCTCCCCTTTCCTAGCGGGTCCACCGTCCACCCGTCCCAGGATCCCTGGATGTCCGTCTCGGACCCCGCCATCTCGGCCTCGGCGGAGCTCTTGGAACGCGGCAGCCTGCTGTACAACCTCCGCGGCTTGGACGCACCAGACACCCGGAGTTGGACTTGTGTTTCACGTGCGTGGACCGGGCAGGCGGACACGGGCCGCCGGAGAGATCGTCTTGTTGCCAGTGAAACGAGCAAAGCTGTAAGAGCTTCCGATCCTCCCAGCCCGTTTTTGGGCGTCCCAGTGTATTGTTTCAGAGGAGTCTATCTATCTATCCAGGATGGATTCGATTCGTGCCTGCCCAGGGACCTTCGGAGAGCTGACGAACCTCGAGAAGAAGATCGTCTCTCTGGTCGCTGACCACGCGCCGGACGCCAAGCTGGAGCTTCTCCGGAGGAGGGGTGGGTGCGGTGGGTTCCGATGAAGGTGGAGGGTGGTGGAAGGGTTCATCATGACTTGGAAAGCCTAGTGTTGACGTGTGGCCCATTCCGGGAAAAGGTAAGGACAGGACCTGGTTGGGCAGGTGCAACCGGCGTGCAACCTATGTCAAAAGAAGTGTTTCCTGAACCCTTGCGCAGACTTACGGTCGTATTGAGGTCACGAGATGTCGCTAGTCATAGTCGCCTCTTGTCGCTCGTCCTTAGGATTTGTCCCAGTGGCCCTCCCAGGGCGGTTGCCGGGTTTGCTGTGGATGATTCAGCTGTTGTTCTCCCGCGGTTGCAGGACCTTCCGGGCCTTTGATACCTCCAAGCAGGGCGTGCTGGATGTGTCCGAGTTGATCGAGGGCTTCAGGCGACCGGGGAGAATGGGGTGGATGGACTCAGTGGCTGTACGCTCCTTGAAATGTTTGAAATAATCATGGAAGTGGATGGCATGGCGCCCTTGGATGACTAATTTTCCTTTACAAACAGATTGTTTTCCACTTCCATGATGATTTCGGGGAGTGTGTGTTTTTTATGATAGCGGCTGCCATAGGGCCATAGGCTATAGAAAAGTTAATAAAAATTGTTTGAGTGAGATTTTGTTGGGTGTGGGGCATTGGTGGGGAGTGACACCGATGTCTGCCCGGCCTTTCGATGGGTTGCTCGTTCTCTGGAAATGGTGTTCTACTGCGGAATGCCGTGGGACGGCCACGTGGAATGGCTAGGCTTTCGATGGGACTTAGCCATGCCCTTGACATCTCGCCAGGAGGCATGATGTCGACATCTCAGCCGCCTGATGTGAATTCCTGGGCGGCTGGTGGGCACACCTGTGACGGCCCTCGTGCGGGGTGTTGCGGGGTCACAGGTTGGTAATAAAATGGTGGATGTCTGCAGAGTGCCTGTAGGGAAGGAGCGAAAAACACCAACCCATGCTTGGGTGGGAAGAAGGATTGATTGCCTTTTGGACCCATGGTCCCAAGCTACTCATATATATATATATATACCTGGCTGAAAACTAACATGGACCCTGAACACCACTGGTTTGTAGAGGAACGCCGTCTTTCAGGGTCCCATTCTCAGGGTCCATGTTAGTTTCCGGGAGTTCTTTTCTGTTTTGATGTGTGCCATTGATATGCTCATTCAATTGGTGGAAGAATGACCCGAAAGACCCTTCGAGGAGCTTTACACAGATCAGTCTTCCAGCAGTCCCCACAAAAGTAGCCTCCCCTGCAGCTGGAGGGGCCATGGCATACCATGATACCATCCGGCTATGCAAAGCTGGAGTGTTTGTGTGAGTTGGCCTTTGTCCAGAAAAAAGCTACCGCTGATGGACAAGATCTTACGCCTACGCGCAAGAATTGCAAGTATACTGTGAATTCATGTGGATTCACGCGCTGCAGCTGCCAATGAAACGGCGAGCGTCCCACCGTTCCACTTTTTTCGGGCGGAGGATGTTGAAGTTTTCCGCCATTTGGATCCATTGCATTTGGGGGTTCTGTCCACTCCTTGCCGACAGAAAAAGCACATGTTCAGGAGGTTCCGGTGGTGAGTGGTAGAAGAACCTTTGGGACTGCGGGGGGGCAAGGTGGTCTGAATGTCGCTGAGGAAGACTTGATCAGAGATTTGTTTGATTCGGTGGACATCGACCACAACCATGTCATCAGCTGCTCGAAGAAGTTGGGGGGGATTGTATTGTATGTTGGGACCAATTGCAGAGGGAAGACTTTGGACCACAAGGTCGCGAAAAAAGAGAACGATGAGAAAGTGCCATGTCCGATTTCAACCCAAGCATCTCAACTTTCAAACAGCACGAAATTGAACCATCAAACCGCATCGACTGGCCTTGTGGGCGCTACAGTAGAGTCTAGGCTTTAGGAGATGACTGTACTTAGACCAGTACCCGACTCTACGAGTCTCCGACATGGAGGCTGTACTTCAAAGTGGCAGGTGGTGACCTGGCAGTGAGGGTGCTGGAATAAATCGGCCAGGCTTGAAGTTTTGGATCTGGCCCACCTACCAGGATCCATCGGGATGCATGCATTCATGACCGGGGTGGTGGTTTCAGATATATGGATTTTCAACCCTTTACTTGGGATGATTGAACCCGCTGGTTTTTTGTTAAGTGAGTTGAAGCCAATCACATCATCATTCATTGACTTCTGCAGCCATCCAAGTCCATCAGCCCACACTCCCACCACTCCAACCAGCCCACAGAGAAACCGACTTTCCTACCTACCTTTCAAGAGCTGTGCCACCGATGCCCGGGAAGGTTACCAGGAATGGCTTGCAGCCACCATTGGCCCCGGCATCCTTGACTCAGAGCCCCGGGCTGGCGTGACGGGGCGGAGGAGTTGGAGGTCGGTGAAGGTGAAGGGCGGCGTGATGTGTGGGGGAACAAGTCAGGACCCATTGTGTCTTCACCTGCCAGGTGAGGGGTCTTTCTCATCCTTGTCTCCTTCAGTCCGGATGCCACAGCCAGGGCCAGCGTCGTCCGCTGGGCGCACATGGGCCACATTGGGCCCACACTACAGGGAGTGCCAACTCAGTCTGAGCTCCAGCACGCGCGGACCTGAACTCTGTATAATTAAGCGCCAGGGGCCAGCTCACTCTGGGCATGCTCCAGCTCGGTCTGGGCACACACGGACACAAACACATGCCATTCCAGAATGCCGGAAGAATTGCCAGATAGAATGCCAGGATGTCAGAAGGCACGCCAGCTGGAATCGAAGAAGGTATGCCAGCATAGAATGCCAGAAAGAATGTGTCCTAGGATGTGGCATCCCAGAATGCCGACTCCGATATGCCAGATAGAAAGCTGGATCCAGGATGCCAAGCACGCCAGAGCGGGACTTCTGCAGCACGCCATACGCAAGCCGCTCTCGAGCCGGTCGAGAAGACGCTCCGCTCCGTTGGTGCTTGAAGCAACTCCCCACGACTAGTGGGAATGACCTACGGTCCGACGGTGGTTTCAAGGGCCCTACTGTATGTCAGAATTCTGTACGGAGTGTTTGGGATATGTTTTCAGTTGTCTAGTTTTGGGGCACGTCGGTCCGCGGGGTTCGCGGGGTCCGCGGGGTCCGCGGGTTTCGCGGAGGGTTCGCGGGGGTCGTGGGACATGCAGGGTTCGCAGACAAAGTGGGTTGAGAAGAGGGCCCAACAACCACCTCATTGAGCATAGTAGGACCTAGGATAATCATGGACGATGGAGCAGAGAGCCACCAAGATGCAGGCAAGGATCGTAGCAGACAAAATGGGTTGACAATATGGCCCTTCTTGTTGTTATTTGTTGTTGTTGTTTGTGGTGGTGGTGGTGGTGGTGGTGGTCGTTGTACGTATGATCGAAAGCCCTTGGTATCGCATAGTTCCTACCAGTCCATCTCTCAGGGGGGGGGGGGGTCCATATGGTATAAAATGACATCAACACCTGCCTCTGACCTTTTCTGCCTGGGTTGCTGGATGTTGGTTCTGTGCCTGGCTTCTCCGCTCCGCTCCTTCGCCGCCCCCGAGGAAGCGGCGCTGGGCGCCTGCTTCCGGCGCCTGGACCCGGAAGCCAATGGCGTCATCACCCGAGACGATCTCATCAGGCGCGGCCACGCGGAGCGTCCCACGAGAGGTCCGGGGCGTCCGGGGAGTGGGGCACGGTGGTGAGAAAGCGGGTGGCCACGGGTGCACCCTGATGGCGGCAGGTCTGGGGTCTTGCTTGGGCCAATGGCAGTGGTTTGGGCAATGGCCACCCTCTGTGGCTCAGAAACATAAGTTAAGGAGGAAACTGGATGCTCAATACAACAACCTTTGGGGTAAGTGGATGTGTGATAAGGTCGGCATTGGCCACTGCGGACGCCCAGAGCAGACTGTCCGCTCCTGTTCTTGTTATAAACTTTAAATACTGTTTTGGGCCTGTTTCAGGTGGTGAATGCCACCAGTGTTTGGCTGATGCATGCTTTTGGAAGAATTATATATTTGCTTCACTGTTTGGTCAAAGGGAAACGGATTTGGGCCCGAACTCACTGGCTGCTCCTCGTGTATGTCTGTGTATGCATGCGATCTGTGTGCGTTTGTCTTTGAAGTACCCCGGCACTGGCTATGAAGCGTCCCAAACAAATGGAGGCGTTTACTGTTGACACGTCACTGCTTACGCCAGCGATCCTCAAATGATCTGTCCTCTACTTCTCCAGGGCTGTGGGCGAAGAGGGAGCCGACGAGGTCTTTGCGTGGCCTGGATGTTGTAAGGGAAAGGGCTTGGATTCCATCACTGGTGTGGATGCGGCTTAGGTCCTTTCGATTGATATCTTAATGTGCATTTTGTTCTATTCACTGGCTTTTGTGAAGCACCAGGTCCACCTACTTGTATGTAAGAGACTTGGAATATCTCGGCATCGGAACCCCCTCTTTTCGGGGCACCGATGGCCAAAGGTTTCCAAGGCTTATGACGTTTTCTTGAGCCATTTCCGGACCCTGCATGTCTTTCAATTGTCTTACCACTGAAGTGAAATGCTTTGAGCCGAGCTAGCAGTTGCACCTCTCTCCTCCTGCTGTGGCACATAGGGCTTCTTGAACCACAAACGTCACTGGCATGCTATGCTTTGGCGGTGCGGCTGCAGACATTACGAATCATTACGAGTTCGTTGGTGAGTTTGCATGGGGCGGTGTTCTTAAGGAGCCTGTTCCGGTTTTTAGGGTTCGATTTTGGATGTTATTTTATATAAAGTAAAGGGTCTACCCCGATTTGGCCACTACAGTTGTAATAGTGCTTTGTAATGTCCGGGATCCTCCAACAGGCATTGGAGCAATCAGACAGACATCAGACAGACTTGACTTGCAGAGATCAATCACGACCTCGAAACTTGTGACTCACGTCTCTTCCCACACAGGTGGCTTTTTGGAAGGCCGCCAACAATTCCCAGTGATACTTGTGAGTTACGGAGGATACGTCGCTTGTCCTGCCACGACGTGAGGATCGACGAGGATTCCTTCTTTGCAGCTGATAACATCAGCTACGAGGAGTTTAAGGCGGACAAAAAACCAGAAACGGCGGTCTGTTTGCCACATGGCTGTGGGTCATGGCGCCAGAAGCCCCTTTATCCCTGGTAGGTTTACCTCCCAGGTAGTCCATTCTGTTTGTTGGACGAGTTCCCTTGGTGGGGCTGGGTCGTGACCCACCTGGAGCTGCGAACGACTACCTGCAGGTAGGTAGGACACGCAAGGTAGCCTGGTGACCCACAGGCAACCAGCCAGCACTCTCCGACTCCTGACACCCTCACTCCAAGATGGATCACCGCCAGTGGATTGAAGGACCGGGGTTGGGGGACCGTTTGACGAAGGTCGCAGATTGGATCTGCTGCATCATGCTGGATCAAAAGTCACCACCGTGAATTGAAGACGTGCTCCAATGACCCAGACGGCCACAAGCCCACTTTCCATTTGCCAGGTGATGGCGCAGAAGTGGCCTGGCTCTGGGTGGAGAGCTGCAGTTCTTTTCTTTTAGTGATCGTGGTGTTCACCGGATTCTTTCTGCAACTTTCATGCTTGCTGCATGCTATTTTTCATGTGAGATGCAGTTTTGCGGCGAAGATCCGCGAATCCAGTTGTACCATGTTGTAATCATGTTGTACCATAAGATCTAAAAAGTATTTGCATAACATATGCATAACATAACTGTACATGCTGGTACGCCCCCGTAACTAAAGGGGAAAACCCTGAAACGGTCCAATATACGTCACATACATATATATATATATATATGTAATATATGTTTATATATGTATATATATATATGTGTGTTTTTTGTATTTACATACATATACACACTATACATCGCCTATCCAAGATGAACAAGTGTATTGGCAGAGTGTGCTTGAGCCGTGCTAACAAGACCATGTGTTCAGAAGCAGCAAAGGAGAGGGACTCCTCCTAATGGACACCCCCTCCATGTGTACCTTTGGCCCACCGGCCCACTCCAGTCAATGCTGTTGTCATCGATCCACACATCGATGCTGGCCAAAATGGATGTGCCGATAAGCCAGCCTCCGGGCGAGTTGGGTCACCTCATTGCACATTTTGGTATGTAAAGAGACCAAAACTAGTACTGTATATGATGAATGGATGTAAACATCAGCATCAGCCATCAGGATCGGCGCCAAGCGCGCCTCCACCACGATCAAGACCCGGCAGAGCCGGTCCATGGTGGTGGACGACGCGCGGCTGCGTGCTCGAGCGGAAGCGGAGCGTGGCGCGCGGCCCAAGCGGAACTCGGCCTTCGCCGTGGCATAGCCGGTGGAGGCGGCGTGGCATTTGGAGTTCGTACGAGTTCGTAGCACGTTGGAGGGCCTTCCGGAGACCAGTGAGTTGGGGTGTGGCTCTGCCACGCTCCGGCCATTGTCCCGGAGTTCTCGGAGCCGCGGACGGAAGAGTTGGACCCCAGGATCTTCAAAGCGCCGGATTCGACTCGCAGTACTTGGATTCTTTCGTGGGCCTGGGGTTCCAACCCTGCAAGAGTCACACCCACTGCCGCGAGAATGACACGTACAGTGAGGTTTGTAGATTGATACCACTCACTCCTCGGTAGCTCAGTAGGGGAAGAACCAAATCAAAGAATCCAAGCCGTTCCCGTCTTTCAATTGTTTATGATTGTTTCATAATACCGTGTCACTGTTTAACTCAGTTGAACTTCAACAAACATGTCGCCGTACACTGGCTGTAGCACGCCTCTTGAGCTCATGAAGGCTTTCGGTTGTTTGGATCACTCATCCCAAGGGGCCATCCCAAGCGCCTCAGCGCCACTTCCCGAGCCATCCCTGGAGGCCTCCAGAACATCGCAGTGACGAAAAGAACGAGGAAATGGGGGGGGCGCTTCCCTGCGCCTGCGGGAAACATGGGTGAACGCCCAGTGCACTTCCTGTTTGTGAAGCAAGTGGTGGTGCTTCTATTCGTCCCCCATTCATTCTTTTGAATTTTCCCGGCTCACTGATACGAGGAGTATTCAATGGCGCCCACAAGGAATGCATTGGGTTAAGGATTCTAATAAGCTGCAGGTTACCATCTCTGGGTGGATGTGAGCATGATTGATGTGGGCTAAAGGTAGCATGTTGAGTGTAAAGGCCGTTTCCCCCAGCACTCTCCCGAGGTCACCCAGTTCCCTACGGGCTGGAACAGTCGCTTGCCCAGGTCGGATGTTCTTGGCAGGAGGGCAGCCGTTTGGCTTTTGAAGCTCAGCTGAAGAAGCACGTGACGAACTCGGAGGGATTGACGAACGTGACTTTTGAAAAGGAAAGCCCATTTCATGATTTCAGCATGCCACTCTCCGCGCGCATTTTCGGAAGCTCCGCCACAGGGAGCCACGACCACATATAGCGCTAGTGTCTTACAAAGGGTTGGACCCGCGCGGTGGTCTTGCTGTGTGATGTGTGCGCAGCACCCTCCCTATGTGTGAGCACTTCAGCCATAATCTTCAGCTTACATGTACCCTAGACTTCCAACCGCTATTAAAAGTATAGGCTGAATCCCGAACCAACTCAGGAGACTTTACACCACAAAAGCCAGGTTCCCATGTTTTTCATGGTCGAACGAACGTCGAACGGGTGTAACCTGTCAACAAGAGTCTGCCTTTGGAGCCCTTGCGCCCTTGCGTCGAACCTTCTCTTCGCGTCCGATAAGTGACGTGTTACATCGATGCTGTTCATGTCGTCTTCCTTCACCTGCCCCCCAGCCACTCTCCAAAAGAAGTGCTTCTTGGTTTCACTGAAGCTCTCAACTGGATTTCATGTCTGTCTTTGTTCACCGGATGTGAAGAAGCAAACAACACCCCCACAGCACCAGACCTGGCCACCCTGACAGCTGACGGCCAACCAGTCGTTTTTCCGTCAGGAGACAACGGGGCGCTTCTTTAAGCCGCCCATGTCCGGCCTGGTCTTCACCATGAAGAAGCGCCTCGTCTTGGAACGAAGCCCTTGGAACGAGACGCAGATAGACTCTACACATCTGTAGATGTGAGAGATGTGAAGGTAGGGCTCTCAGAAACTTGACTCCTCCTCCTCCTCCTTCTGCTTCTTCGTTTTCTCTTGAAATTGCACAGTGTCCGTTGTGGACTTGCGGACACCTTGACTCACTAACATAGGGAGGTGGATGGCACCTCCTGTTTGTAGAGGACTGTAGTCTTTCTCTGATCTTAGTGAATCAGAGTCGAGTCTACACGCCTCCTTGAGACCGTCCGCATGAGCCGTGATGGAAAAGCTGAAGTTCTGGACCTCCCTCGACCAACCTCATCTTCCCTTCCCCTCTTCACACCGAACTTTGGCCGAAAGAAGTAGCGCCTAAGTAGCGCCGCCAGGCCCGCGCGTAGCGCTTCCTTGCCAGCTTTGGAATCAGGCGAGGGCGCGGGGTTCCTGCACACGTCGTCGGCCCGGCGCGATGACGTGGTTCCGGTGGTGGCTGCATAGCAGACTGATGGGCGGCTGGCTTGAACGGTGGAGGGGTAGAAAACAGACACCTTGTGGCAGCTATCAGGGACCAGGGAGCTGCAGACTCCGCAGAAGCAGGGGTGGAGTTCACGGTCTGAGGGTCCTAGTACAGGATAGGCTCCTGTTCCGTGTCCATGGGTCATGTTGTGTGAACTTGTTGATTTTGTTTGGAGTTTGGGGAAGTCTTTTGTT